AAGTTAATGTAACAAAGCCTTGTTCTGGGAAACCAGTCACCTTATCCACCCTGCTGACTGACATTCAACAGTCTAGCAACTTTTAACAAGCATTCTTTTCTTTTTGTATCTCACCATACATTTTCCTATAAAGAATATATTTTTGGTCACCTTACCAGAGACATTTGCCTTTGCAGCAAGATTGTAATAAACCTTGACAGTGTTCATAATTAAACAATCTGAAGAGTTTTCATGAACACCCTTGATTCACATCTCTGCTGTGGAATCTAGCTTTTTTATTATAAATCCAAAGGATGAAGATCTGCTCAACTGCCTGCTGCATACTAACCTCCTCCCTGCTTTTCCATTGTCTCTGCCACCCCGCCAGGGTTTCTGTTCGTAATTGGGCTGCACTGGAGACACTAAATTGGCCTAGTTCCTACCTCTGTTGGAGCCTTGTCTTGGAGCACCTTTTCTCTTGAATGATTATGAACCATACACCAAACACCAAGTGTAGATTTTCAGGAAAGATGTCATGGGGGGGATGCGTCATGAGGATAAGCTTAGCTGTCCAACTTCCAGCCTGGAAAGAAGAGAGGTCCACTGGGAGGTAAACTCACAGCCAACCTATAAGGTCAGCAGTCTAATCTAGATACTAATAAAGACTCTTCCACCAAATCCTAAACACAAAAGAGAGCATGCTCTATTGAGGCAAGCTTATGATAGATAAAAGGAAATACTATTTCTTTTGGTGGATAGAAAGCCAACAGAAATACTATGAAATAAAAAATGTTTTCATACATTTATGGATAAAGAGAGGCATGATTAAAGGACCCTGAAATGAACTGCTTGGGAAAGGATGTTCCTGTTAAGATTGTCATCAGGGTACAATACATCCCAAATGTATTGCTGGAGATGTGGGACAACTGATCCAATCCAGAAAAGTCATCATTTATTGTTTTTGTTTTGATTGGAAGGTTTCATTTTTATCATTTTTATAAAAACTATGGAGAAAGGGGAATACTTATTTAAGATTCTGCTAAATTTCCCTGTGATAAAGGGAAGTGGAGCAGGCTGGCCACAAGGGGGTTCAAATAACATTAAACACCATTTCTTTAGGTTTTCATCATCAAGAAGGTTGAATAGTGAGTGGCTCAGAGTTCAGCCTTGGGATTCTGGATCCTACCCATGTCCCAATCACGAGTTTTTCAGTAAGTCACTTAACCTTGCTCAGCCTGTTTCCTCTTATGGAAAATGGGAGCCATAACAGTACCTTCTCCATAGCGTTTCTGAAGTTACTTGCTCCTGGTTTGGTTTTTCTTTGCATCCCTTTCTCCTTTTGGTAATAATTTCCCTTTAGGAATAGCATCTTAACTTTGGTCCAAATGGTTCAATACTGATCTCACATACCACCTGAAATGGTTGGAAGATTACTGAGGCCAGATAGAGATAATCCTCACCACAGTGATTGGTTCAGTGGTGGACATGTGACCTGAACAAGGCCAATCAGAATCAATTCTGGGGCTTTTCTGGCAATTTTGGGGATATTAGGGAAGCGCCTCTAAGGGTTGTGTATTGGTCAGCTGGGCTGCCATGACAAAATATCACAAACTAGGGGCTTAAACAACAGAAGTTTATTTCTTACAGTTTTGGAGGCTGAGAAGTCTAAGATCGAGGTGTCAGTATAGTCAGTTTCTGGTGAGGCCTTCTCCTGGCTTGTAGGTGGCTGCCTTATCGTTGTTTGCTTATATGACAGAGAGCACTCTCTGGTGTCTGTTATTAGAAGGACACCAATCTCATTGGGCTAGGTCTCCACCCTTATGACTGCATTTAATCTTAAATACCTCCAAAGGGCCCTATCTCTAAACGCAGTTGCATGGGGGTTAAAGCTTCAACATATGAATTTAAGAGGGACACAAGTCAGTCTATAACAGTTTGTTATGTTGATAGGATGAATGCATGGTGCTAATTCATGTTGTAATAAAATACAGAGAGCTTGAAAATAAAAATATTTAGAGAGGAGAGCTGAGAGAAAAACTATGTCCTGATGACATTGTTGAAGACTATGGATCCATCCATGTCTTTGGCCAGCTGTATTCCAAGACTTCCAGGTACATGAACTTATTCCTCCTTTATTTTTACTTAAAACTTTTTGAGCTGGATTTTTGCCACTCCCAACTGAAATATCTTGACTCTTAGTGGGTTATGGGGAAGATACAACAACATTACACATATAAAATGCTTACCACTGCACCTAGAGGAGAGTAAGTGCTCAATGAATAGAAGTGGTTATGTTATTATCAGTGATTTCATCAATGACAGAGTCAAATGATTCTAGATTTTCTGAGACATCTAGCAGAAACATGGAACAACTTATCTGAAAATTATTGTGAGGGTTATTTAGAGAACTTCAACTTTTGTGGCAAATCATTTTTGAAGGGCACAGCGTTATTGGACAGATTGCTCTCAGCAAAAAAAGAAACATACACAGTTGCACACACTTTATGACTTTTAGACAGTGTGGTTTGTCTTTCTGTGGGAGAGTTGAAGGAAAGGCCAGTGGAGATATTTTAAAACAGAGCTGAAGTTATAGAAGGTGATTGCTTTTCGTCTTTGAATCAATTCAACAAAGTATTATAAGTAGAAGAGGAAGAAAAATAGGAAAATATTTAATAGGATACCAACCATTTAGCTCTTTGAACAAATATAGAACAAACTTAATGATCTGATAATCAGATATTATACTGATTTAAAAAAAACCCTCATGACATCAGTTTTGTCAAATGATTGACTTTTATTAACATAGTGGATTTGTTTTAGTGGCAGAAAATAAAAATTCTTTTGCTTATGGAAATATCTTCTACCCAGGTCTTTTCTAAAGACTCTATATTACATTTAAAATTTCTATTTTGAACATTACATTTTAAGTTTAAACTAATTCCTCTCTCTCTCCATCCCCCACCCTCTTTCTCTTTTTCTCCCTCTCTCTTGGTACAGGTGAAAAAATTTTAAATCTAGAGTTTAGATAACTCTGAAATGCTTAGAGATATTAATAAGACTGCAGTCTTCACAAAGTGAAACAGAATGTGTGTGTGTGTGTGTGTGTGTGTGTGTGTGTGTGTGTGTATTTGTGAAGGTGGAAGTAACTATTTTCAAAGCAATGAAAATGTGTAATGGCATGTATAGGAATTTAATTTTTAGAAGTGACTGGGCCCCAACACTGTGTCCAGATATAGGAGGCCCTGGACTTTAGTAGAGTCTCTAGTTTTCAAACCCACAAAAATAAGAAAAAGTTTCAAACTTCTTCCATTTCAAGGGATATGGAAATATAAAACAAAAATGAAATATTTGGACAGTATAGAGATGGTTATTTTGTATCCAGCACACCACACACTGTGCCCGCGCTCTGGTACGGATGGCTAGGGCTGGCTATTTAGCAGTCCTGGGCTCCCTCTCCCTCCCTGCTCCAACTCCTCTCCTCCCTCGGGGAGCTGGGGTGAGGGGCACTCAGGTCCCGCCAGGCCAGGGCTTGTATCTTACCCCCTTCCAGAGGTGCTGGGTTCTTGTGGGTGTGGATGTAGTCTGGCTGTTGTCCTGTGTCTTCTGGTCTCTCTTTTAGGAATAGTTGTATTTGTTGTATTTTCAAAAATATATATGGTTTTGGGAGGAGATTTCCGCTGCTGTATTCATGCTGCCATCTTGGCTCACAGAACATTCCACTGCATGGCTGTGGTATAATTTAAACAGTCCCTAAGTTGTTTCTGGTTTTTTTCTTGTTATGAAAAATGTACAGTGCATTTTCTGACATATATGTCACTACCACATGATTGAATGGAACTGTGGGATAAATTCCTTTAAGTAAAATTGCTGGGTTCAAGGCATATGCATTTAAAATTTTGATTTGTCTATTTCCTTTCATGGAGGTTTTAGCCATTTTTACTCCCACCAGCCATTGATATCAGTGTCTGTTTTCTTATACTCTTGCCAATCCAATGTGTTAACTTTCTTTCTTTTTTTTTATGACATTCATTTTTTTTATTAAGGTATCATTCTTAACTTTCTAATAATTGCCAAGCCTATTGATTAAAAAATAGTACTTGCATTTGCTTTCAATTTGTTTTTTTCTTATTATGAGTAAGATTGAACACTTCACACATTTAAAAATCAGTTTTATTTCCTTGTCTAAATGTCTTCATTTTGCTATTGGATTTTTAATCTTTTTCTTAATGATCTGAAACAATTGGTTATATAGTAGAGTATCTGTTATGTTTTGCAAATGTTTTCCCCAGTTTGTTTATTCTTTTATTTTTTCCTCACAATAAATTCCTTTCTGGGGACATTACGATTAGCATGTATAATGTGGGGGGGGGGCATGGGGAGGGCTGTGCAACACAGAGAAGACAAGTAGTGATTCTACAGCATCTTACTATGCTGATGGACAGTACTGTGATGGGGTTTGTTGGGGGGGGATTTGGTGAAGGGGGGACCCTAGTAAACATAATATTCTTCATGTAATTGTAGATTAATGACAACAAAATAAATTAATTAATTAGTTTAAAAAAATTTTCAAAAAAAAAATTGATCTGAAGAGTGGGTGTGCACAACTTAGGTAGGGTAGGGGTGGAGGTAGGGGGCGCAAAAAAAAATTCCTTTCTGTAGATCAGATTTGTTTATTAATAGCTTCTTGTTATTATGCAGGTTAATGTAAGTACCTTGCTGGTATTTTCAAACTTATTTTCCTTTGCAGATACAATTTTACAAAAATACGTTCACACCATGCATACTATTTAGGCAACTGCTTTTATTCCTACTTAATGATGGAAATCTTTCTATGTCATTCAATATATTTTTAAAATAGTTTTCAATGGTTACAATATGATTTTGTCTTTTGGAGGTATAGTAATGTACTAAAACAAGCCCTTTAGTGTTGGGGTTAAGTTATTTCCAATTTAAAAAATCAACATAAGCTACACATCCATGGTAATTTCATTTGGATGATATTCTCGAAAGAAACCTTGTAGGTCATAGCACAGAAGTCTCTTCCAGCGCTTCAGTGCCCCCTCAGCTCCATCAAACTCCGTTGCCGCCGCCCGGGGCTGAGGCTGGAGGTGGCGCCGCGAGGACGTCCGGAGGCGAAGCGGGAGCCACCGCCCCACCCGGGGCCCCGTGCACGCCCACCGCGGCCGTTAGGGATCCTGATACGTTACCAGCCACCATCCAGAAAGCCAGTCACCAGGTATCCTTCCATCAGAAGCCACTCCACTTATTGCAAGTGTAAGATTGGTTCTTATTTTGAGCACCTGCCTTCCAAATTATATACTACTTTTCTCTTTTTCTTTTTTTCCAGTGGCCTATTCTCCTAGTAGTGAATATAAAATGTGTAACTAGTTTCTCTCTCTGGCTGTGAAAAGGGAAGCGTAATTTAGGAAGAAAAGGAATGGACATACTGCAGATAAAGTAGCACTTCACGTTCTCTTGGGGAGAGGGTTTAGGGTGTTCTGGGTTGTCCCAGGAAATAGCTGTATCATGTTAGGTGGAAGCAAGATTTTGCTGTTAGAAGTTAAATATGGTTAAAAGAGGTGCATATGAGTGCAGTTTGACCAGGGGTGGAGTAGTGCTGGTTTTGTATGGCGCCAGCTGGCCTGAGTTGGAACTGCTTTTCCCTCATGGTGTATGTTAGCATTGGCCCCGAGAGATGGCTGCGCAAGATCTGGAAGGGGCAACGGAAGCAGCGGCCCTTGTTCCCTGAACGTAGTGGTCAGGTGCGCTGAGAGGAAGACGCAGAAGCGCTGGCGGGTTCTAGCTCGTCCTTGCTCTCCTCTCCTTTACCACCAGCCAGCTCTTTTTCTTCTCTCAATCTGCCTTGTTGATAAAGAGCCGCCTCAAGCCCACCGTCAGACGCAGGGCCTTCCACGGCTCCCTCGCTGGTTCCCATCTGCATCCCTTACAGCTGGATGTGCTGTCCCCCGATTTTCCTGCAACTGCTGAGTTTCCCGTCACATGAGTACTTCAGGACGGCTGACCAGTGGCTTTTCTCTGCACCTTCCCTTCTCAGTGCGGACTTTGCTGTGCTGACTCCTCTCAGCTTTGGGTAAGGTTTAATTCTGTAAAGTGAGACAACATGGGAACATAAGTGTAGTGTCTGTTTTGTTCACAGCTATGGCTCCAATGCCTGGCACCTAGAAGACAGTAAGTATTTGCTGAATTAGTGAAGGACTTAAAACATGAGCTTGGCCCCAATAAGCACATAATAAATGATAGTCCTAATTATTATTTATCCAATACCAGATTCTCAAGTAAGAGGGTGTCACCCGAGAAAACATGCGTGCTTGCTTTCAGTCTCTGGCTTAAAAAGCTTATTAGGGAAAACTTTTTTTAAATATTTCGGGCAGCATCTGGGGGTCTTCTTGGCCTCTAAACTCATGCCAGTTCCTGGGAAGTCCCAGACTGTCCGGAGTGGTCGGGAGAGCCATCTGAAGAACACCGGCTAGTACCTCACCGCGCACAGGCACTCTCGTCACGCTCTTCTCTGTTTTTCTGGATTTGCGTTTTCTACAATATGCTATGATCAGCGCAGTTTTCTCTCCCAACTTCCATAAAGTGACATGGACTTCTTTAAACACTCTATTTTACACACATACGAGTTTTTGATTCATGTCTGAGAGAACTATTTTCTTTGATTTTGTTTTGGTAAGAGTATCTTTTCCATTTTCTTTTTAAAAATCACACAGTCCGACCATCCCTGGATGGATATGCAGCTCTGTGGCATGGACATGCTGCTGTTGGACATGTTATGGATCTAAAAGAAATCATAAAGGTACATTGTGAGTTTTTCAAGGGGATAATTTTCTAGGAATAGATTTTCAAATATCTTTTAAGGCTTTTTACATACTAATATCCTAACTAACATATGCCATTTCAGCAGACCATAATGGTCATTAATAAAATATTATGGTATTTATTCTATGGATTAGCTCTTCCCCCAGTGTCTTGTCATGGAGAGCTCATATTTATAACCTATTTTATATTCTTCCATGATGATTATAATGTGTTGACTATTCCTGGCACTTCTGTTTGATTAGATTTAACACTTCACATTCCTCATTTTCAACTATTCTTCTCTTTTTGAAATATTCTGTCCATCTCCATCATGTTAGAATTTCACTTTGGCCCCAGAGTCTACTCAGTCTCATTAATGTCCCATGAGCATATCTTTCATAGTTTCTAAATGTTCTAACTTCCAGCTGAGTCATTTTTGCACTTCTCAAACTTTTACAAACTTAATACATACTTAGGAAAACAGAAAATTCTTCAAGTAAGTCTACTAACACTCAGCGATGCTTAGAGTTTAATTTTAAATTTCATTAACATAACATATGTTCTCCTTCATAAAGTCCAAAAATCATATAAAAAGGCAAGTCAGCACCTTGTTCCAAAATTCCTCTTCATGGTTCCTCCCAAAGGCAACATCTTTCATCTTTTTAATTTACCTTCACGTTTCTATAACAGTTCTCTAATACCATTTCCTAATTTTTCAATTGTTTTTCTAGTTCCTTCTTACCACAAAAGATGAGAAGTTGGCTGCCTTATAACCAGGCACATATCCCCTTCTCCCATTTCCCTAATGGGAGACTTTTGTTGTTTTCCCTTTACTATGTATTGTCTTAATTTTTCTTTGCTTAATTTTGCCTATGTACTTACCACTAGTCCATTCTGCCAAATTCTGACTGAAGTCTAAATCACCTTTCCATATGTTCAAATAAAGCTATCAAAAAAATTTTTTTTTCTGGAGGTTAGGACTACATTATGACTTTTGTAGGAAGTTTTGCCTTTGTAAGCCCCTTCCTCCATAAAAAATAATAAAAATTGTATTTTACAGCTGCATTGGCATAACAATGAATATAATACAGGCTGGATTATTATATATTCACTGTTATTAAAATTTTCTTATTTTCAGGGAAATTAAAAAGAAAGCATTTTTGTTAGTCCCTGAAAGTATCAAGGGCCCTAGGCACTGCACCTGTTCAGCCTGACGGATAAATCAGCCTAGCTGGAGGCGTCCATTGCTCGGGGAGCCCTCCTTTCTTTTGTTCCACTCTGGACTTATTCTCTGAGCCCTGACATCTTCTTTTACTGAAGATTCAGCCTGAAAATCCACTCATTTCTTTCATATATTGTATCCTCTACTTTATAGATAGATCCTTTATTTTATTTTAAAATAGATCCTCTTTTATTTTTTAGTGTGGCTGGATTTAGAATTATAAGATGGAAATAATTCACCTAAATTTTGAATTTAGGTGAATTATTTCCTAATGTACATTGTACATGCTCATTGTAAAGAATTCAAAACATATAAACAGAAGAGAGTAAAGGTAGCCTGAAAGCTGCACCCTGAATCAACCACTGTATTCGGGGAGCTTGGACAAGAGGGCCAGAAGGTCTGTTTGGGGTGTAGCTTCTCACTCCCCCTGTGTTTCAGCACAGCCTTGCTGGCTACAGGGGTGCCTGAGGTCCCCAAATCCAGAGCTTCTCTGAATCAGTATCTCCCGAGAGGAACCCTTCAGTCCTCTGCCAGTGGGGAATGGATATAGGCTTCTAACTATTCTGTATTCAGACTTGCCGTGACACCCAATTTTTCACCCACCCATACCACTCATACCACCATAGGGTCCCCGATGCCTGCAGTGCAGAGCTCTGTTGAGGAACCTGTAGAAGGAATGAATTTGCTTACACTTCTGCACGCTGGCTTAGGTTTTGACTTTCTCATTCTTCCAAAGTTTTATTTTTGTTGTCTTCTTGCCAGTTCTACTTATCCTTATGGTTTGATCTTTTAATCTAATCCTTTACTAAATTATTTTAGTGGAGTTATAGGAATGTAGATGAATGTCCTTATTCATCTTTTAAAGATTAGTGGGGAGTGTCCACTCATAAAATTCCTACACACATTTTATACATTATTCAAGTTTGCTCTAGTGTTCTAGAACTCTTACAGCAGAACAACTGTTTTGCTCTGTGTGTGTGTGTGTGTGTGTGTGTGTGTACTGAAGATAAAAGGGAATCAATCAGTGCTAGACTCAACTGCTTAGTTGAACCTTAATTTTATGCTATTACTATATTTAAATCACAAATGTAATCTTCCTTACTCACTTTTTCCCCACAAATGTTACAAATAGCTTAAGTTTTAAAATCTGTTCTTTCACATACCGACATTAAATATATGTCAAAACAAGTTCCTCTCCAGGAATGAATAGAACATGTCTTGCTTGAACTTAAAAATGATTTTTCAAAATACAGCAGGACCTCTTTCTTCTTTTCCTTAACTATGCTTGTGTTCCACCTACACACATTATGAAAAATGAAACTTTTAAAACAATGGAAAATTTTACATATAAACTTTATCATAGCCCTAGATATGAGGGATATAAAAATAAATCTATAATTTTTCAGTTTTTATCATCCACTTACTTATATTCATTTTTTCATGTAAATCAATTTGTGCTGTAAGTTCATTTATGTCATCTCTCATATAAGTCCATTTATTGTAGTTCAAGCTAATAGAATCACCAGATGTTAAGTGCCAATAATATTTAAATACATTTATTTTTTATTCTAGAATCTCTTGGGTACAAGTGACAGAAACTCATCTCAAATTGAAACCCAAAGGTAATATATTTTTTTGAATACCTGAATATTCCAAGAGTTTTACTCTAGTTAAACCTGGATCAAAGTGGGTTTAAGGGATACTGTCAGGATTCTAGTATTCTCTCTCTCTCCATGTATGTATATTTATTTATATAGAGAGATATTTATATATCTGTATGTGTATATAGATATGTCTATGTCATGCAAACATTTAAAAAAAATTTTATGTCGCTAATATTCAAATCATTAGTCAAATGCTAATTACTTCTTTTCAGGAAGCTAAATTACTAAAACAATAATAATTGTTTTAGATTTATAATTTATAATTCTTTTAGATTTTCCTTCTGGTACTGTTGATTACAGGCACAAAAAGATATCAGCCTGGTAATTTTATAATCATAGGACATTAACTGGTCTTGATCTGATACATATTTTCTTATGGACACTTGTGATTTTTTGGGGGGTCTGCTTAGCATCTGCAGTCCCTGTATGTTTGGTATTTCCCCAACCTTATTAGCCATAGTGGGATGCAGAGGTTGTCTCACCTAATGAGAGATGAAAACACCGCAAACTCTTGCTTTCCTAGATTCCCCTGCAGTGCGGCCTGGTCAGGTGACTCACACTGACTGGGAATGTCAGAGGCTCAGAGACGTAGGGACTGGAAGACCCCACTAGACTGAGCCCTAGGGCAGTAGAGGCAGCAGGGCTGGGGTGAGGTACAGGGTGCCGTGTTAGAGGGGGTGGTGGTGCAAGCCGGTGGTGGTGGGAATGCCCACTCTGATGAGTTGTGCCCTGTAGTAGTAGGCATTGATCTGTGTTTCATAACCTGGCTCTCCATCCACACTGTGGATTTGTGATCTTCCCAATATCATAAATTTCTTTCTGGTCAAAATCAACCTGGATTTATTTCTGCTGCTTGCAACTAAGACCCTTGAACTGGCAGCCTTCTCTTCCTCTGTGCCGTGTCTCCTTTAACTCAGTACTTACTAACTTGCATCTTATATTACTCACTTTGGCTTTGCTGCTTGAATCTTCTGATATTAGCTCACAGAAGGGGTCTGGTAGGAGAGGATGAAAGGCTGTCCTGCTCCTGGGAGGCAGAGAGAGCCATGCTGGGGTCCGTCAGAAGGCAGGCCAGCTGATTGCTGCCAGCCGCAGGGACACACTCCTCTTCCCATCTTTGCTTCCATGACCCTGGGCCAGGCCACCATCACCCCTCACCGGGATTATGGCAATATTTCCTGGAGTCTGCCTACTGCTGCTCTTGTTCCCCGAAACACTTTCTCTCTCACAGGGAGTCAGCTTATGTCAATTCTCTGTGAAACTCCAATGCCTCCCCATTCCTTCAGATTAACAGTCTTC